GCAAGTTGTACATTTTGACGATCGAAGTTTGAGGGATATAATGTTTTAAAATTTAATCGATGGGCGTATCTTATAATGAAATCTTTTTCAATGCTAAACATTTTCCTCAAGAATGAAAATTTAGGAGAAACTTTCTTGTAAAAATCATTAAAGTGGGGACACACAAAAGTTTTCTCATCATCTCTCAGTTTGGTTTATCCAATTATTTCTGATCGACATTAATAAATGCACAGAATCAAAAAGAAGAAATAAATCCTTTGATTCATTGACTGGATTTTTTATATGTCCAGATGAGAATCTTTTGCTAAGTTTCTGAAACATACTGCGATTTATTCGTTATTATCTGATATAATGCACAAAACAGTAAATCCTGCATCTTCTAATAACTGCAGAACTTTCAAAATGAAACTATGAAGATCCACTGCAGTCATTTTACTCACTGGTACCAATGCAATGATGTCCTTGTAATCTGATAATAAGGAAGAAATCATGAAGGATTGAACATACATTTTCAGCAAAACCAATTAATGCTTTTCCTTTATATGTCACCTTTTTTTCACATGAACTTCATCAACCAATAGATTCACCAGTTTTTCATGTTCCAGTAGTGTTTTAGCTTTACCTTTTACATATCTGCTATTAGCTTCACTACTTGTCTATCCATAAGCTTTAGCAGGCCAAGGAGTTTCCGAAGAGGATAAATGGATGGAAGGCAGGTTAGCTGATTGTCATAAAGGCAACGATAACAAGCAGCTGATTTGATAATATAATGAGTATGCAAATACGAAAATGACACTACTATACCTCCTAGCCATTTTAATTTTATTGGACATCATCATTTGTTCTAAAATAAAATGTTCTGTTCCGTAACTAAGATTCTCAGGTGATTTTTCTTCTATATGTGCTTCCCAGTTATATACTGATAAGTCATAGTTCGGTTTTTTAATGTCTTTAACTACCATCCCTTTGGCATAATTATAAATGCTTTCAAATTCAATCCATAAAGTAAGTTTATTATTTTCATTTAATACATTTTTAAATATTTCCATTCCAACAACTTCATCTCCTGGATAAACTGGTATATCCATATGAAGCAAGCGATACAAAGATTCTTCCATTCCAACAACTTCATCTCCTAGATAAACTGCTATATCCATATGAAGCAAGCGATACAAAGATACTAAGATACTTTTCTCACTTTTAGGATGTGAATGAAAACTGAGCAATAAAATATCAATACCAGCAACAGATTTGTGTTAAATAATATCTGAAGTACTTGAAATATTTAATTTATTCGGTACTATAGAAGAAAAATCCTCAAATGACGCTATTTTGTCCTTCCTCAAAAATTAATTAAAAATATGCTTTTCCATTTTAGTTCTTTTTTCCTCCCTGCTCATCCTCTGATGAGTTGGACGTTCAGATAAATATTTTGAACAACCATAAAAAAGTCTTTCACGCACAACGCTGCGATCACTTGGAATAAAAGTTTTCCTTGGAATTTTTTTGATCCATAAACCCCGTTTTACTGTATCGGTTGGAAATTTGAATACTGATCCATTCATTGGGGCCATCGCAATTGGATTTGCATGCTGGAACTCAATATCGTGCAGGCATGATGAAGACTTAGCTCTACATAGAACTCGATCGTTATTCTTGTTAACAAATAAGTTAACTAGTAATCTCAACTTGAAAATATCCTTAACAACCTTACTTAAATTTAGCAATAAAAAAGACACGAATAATAAAAAACACAGCACGCAATCTAACGTAATAAGAATTCTTCGCTTGCAGTGTCCACACAATGCAGCGCGAAGGGTGAAAGTTCAGACGCCTTACGTGACGTCAAATCACGTGATTCTGCAGCTGACCAGGCCATCTAAATTCTCGAAGGCCACGTTCAAGCTATTTATAAACATTTATAATAGCAATTTCAGAAGAGGAAACGAGCAATATTTGAGCATTCCTCTTTCCGCCTCATGGCAGCCGTCGCGCCATGGAGAGAGGGACTCACCGCTTATGCGACATTGATCGTTGTCTATGATTTGCTAACTCCCAGTCACTCGGGCTGCCCGTCGCAGAGGGACATTACCAGCGTACCTGGGACGTTACCCCCCCGGGCTACTAGAGCAACTCCACTCTAGAACCAACCAGGCCCATGTGCCGGCAATAAATGACCTTTCCTGGGCCTTCAAAGCCACCAGGTTCCAAGAATGTGTACACCCGCGTGGGCAAGACTGCCTAGATACAAATCCTAGTCAGTAGCTTCGCAGAGTTCTCTACATCGACTCCCGGGGTTGTCAGAAGGGGGAAAAGTAGACCGACAATTAAATATCACACAGTGTGGTAAATACAATAGCTACACTGCAAGTTTTTACTTCTGAAACTTCTACTGTTTGCACTTCACTATACTATGACAGGGCCTTGTTAAGAAAATATACAGGGATTTGATACTGGAACTGAAACATTCACATTTAAAGAAAAGGCAATAATTTATTAATACTGTATAGGCGCTCTATCGGAGGCCTATATAGCAGGGACCTTTACTTAAGAAGGATAAGCAGCGGAGAAGCATTTTCTAAGACTACCCTTTAGCATAACCCATACAGGCTAAATTATTCTGAAATCACACAATTGTGTAAGATGTGGAAGATTTTCAATCTCATTTCCAGGTTCTTCAATCCATTCTCTTTCCAGTTTTGCGTTTCTTTTACCGTTAAAGTTAGCATTTAGCATGGGTATTGGTCAACAGTGCCCTTGCTGTTTCATGATTTGATATTCCTTACTGTACAATGAATATTAAATCTCAAAAACTCCACACAGGCAATGAAAATAAGTAGAAATGTGTAGTAGTATATATGTGTAGCGTACACAGGTGTAGGTTTAGGAAAATGTTCTGTAAGTACTTATTTATTTCACTAATAGTTAATGTTAGGTTAAAGCACCTTTCCTGTCGCTCACCTTTTCATCCATGCTTTCCTACTAAAATGTAAATCAGTTAGCCTGAGTTTATTCAGATTGAAGTGAACTTACTTAAGCGAAGGTTTCCGAAGTTGATTTTAGGGCGTGTTATGCCGGATTAAAGGCTATATTTTACCTTGACTTACTAGCGATTTGATTCTGTTGCGTTGAGTGCTTCTAGCCATTAAGCTTGTCCCGCCGGCTTCTATGAGCCAGAGCCTTCTTGCGCGTTTAAATTGTCCTGTGAGCCGTTACGCAAGTTTAATTATATTTTATTTTAAGTTCAACATTACTTGTTTTAAATTAAGCCAAAAGTGTTGGCATATGTAAACCCAAGTGGGGTCGTCTCTAAACTCTTTGTGATCGAATAAAGGGTTATTTATACCCTTCTACTGACGTTATCTGTATAAGATCAAAGGATAATTCCTCTACAGTCTTATTAGAGCTCGTCAGTTTAAGTTGCCAAAGGATACGATACGTTATAGAAGTTTTCGAATACAAAAAGTAAATTCTGCAAAATTGTTTAATAATATTTATTTTACAATTTTTGACTGCAATTTTCTTTAATACTCTTTCATCATTTTCCGATGACATCCGATGTTATCGCTAATTACTTTCATTGGACGAAATTCTTTACTTTTCTAAGTTTATAGACACGAGTAATGAATACTGTGGCCATCGACACATCAAGCACGCCCGCTGCCTTGGTAGCACCTACATTAGAGCCCGCCGAGCAACAACAATTTGTGGTTTTTTGATCTCTGATATATCCTACAAGTTATAATTTGGTATAGAGTACCTTACGTTACTAATTTGGCAATTTTTTATGATATAGATCAACATTTTTATCATCAACATTAAACTAATTTTAATACCCAGAAAATTAGAGGCTTTTAAATTTATTAAACAGAGCTAAAAGTCGAACTTCTCAATTGTAACATTAGTTTATTACTTTCTGTATTAATTGAGTTCTAAACAAAATTCTCAGACTCAGATTTTATAGTTTATTACACTATTTTGTCTCTTTACAGAAAATTCACTTCGTTCCTGTCACACAAAAATATTAAACGTTTCACAGTCAACGTTTACAGTCAACGCTACCAACGTTTCACAGTCATTTTCGCAAACAAAAAGATGAGTTTAATTAAAACCAGTGTTTTTCCATGTGGCAGGCAAAAAATAAAAATAAAAATTTTTCTATTCATATATTGCAGTTTAAAGAAAAAAATTCTTTAAAAAATATTTAAAAATGACCAAAAACATTTTAGAGGACTTAGCATGGCTTGAGGTACTTTTTAATGTAAAATATGCTGAAGATTTACGCATTATTACTTAGGAAGATAAAAATTCTAGTTTTACAACTATGCGTGAAAATAAGCAATAAAGTAATTTTAAGTAAAATTTTTTTTTTGAATAAATAATGTATCTTTACTAGTTGAATAAAAGATTTACTTAAAATACCTATTGTTAACGTAAATGAATTTGTTTCGGTCTTCGTCATCAAAAGACAACAACTTTGCTGTATCTTATATGACATTAATTTATAAGCATTATTTCTTTTAAAGAAAATATATAACTGATACGCAATATCAAACAAACATTTTCCATAAGGTAAAAGCTTTAAAAGAAAACATTCTCTGGCAAAGCAATTTTTCTAAGTTACAAATTAATGTATCTAAAGAATTTATATTTAGGAGAATTATTCTAAACGTGTAGTGTAATAACTTTTGCAGATAGTTATAAAAATTTAAGTTTTATTTGCATTCTTCTTTCAAAATTATTACTTATAAAATTTATTCTCATTATGTATTAATCTTTTCTGCCTTTTAACAAGATTTTTATGATGTATTCCAAACTTTCCGATGAATTTCTCTTGAAAGTTGCTAAGGATATAAAATGAAAAAATCTATGTAAACAAGTCTGTTTTTAGCCTTTCTTTCTTTGAAAAACGATTCTAAATTCGAAACGTGTAAGGGATATTTTTATAGACAGCCTGGCGCTTCGGTCAGACCCACAATGCCTTGCGCGCACCCGAAAAATCGATGAAACCCAATTGTCAACCACCAAGATGGCCGTGGACTTTGTAGCTACATATAAAATTTTAGTTTTGGGAGATAGTAATGTTGGAAAAACTTGTATAGTACACAGATTCTGTGATGAAACTTACTACGATACCTACATCTCTACCATTGGTAAGTTAAATTGAAAAAAAAAATTCATTTCTGCATGAATACGATGTTGGTCCCTCTTTATACTTTGCTCATTAGCATTTTGCAAAGACAAACGTATTTTATGTGCCGTGCTCTTGAAAACCTTAAGCTTCCTCGAAAGAATTATGCTATATTTTTTGAAAATTTAAGAATGGGATTGGTAGTGAAGTCACTGGCGCGAAGACTAATTTTTACGCTGTCGTGTTGTTCTACGTATCTATAAAATTATATGTGCGCTTACAGCCAATGCAAATTTGTTCAAGTGTTTTATCTACTTTTTTGGAAATGCATTCGGAAATATGATGCTTTCGATATTCTTATTATATACTATTCAGCTAACTGCATTTAAAAATGCACAAAAAAGTATTTACAAATTCCTAAACGAAAAATTGCAAAAATATTAATAACTCTTGCATTTAGAACAATGTTATTCATCATTAATTCTTTCCTAAGCCAAAGTTAAATTAATATGTATATAAAGAAGTTTCGGCTCTTAAAGTTAAGCTCACAGGAATAGTCGTTCTGCTCGAAAATGATAAAAATGTTAGAAGATTATAATTATAATAAAACTATTCTTAACAGATGCCTGATTAGTTAACTATTATTATGAAATTTAAAACTATATATGGCAAAATTGCGTACGAAAAAATGTTTTGTTGAAGAATTTTTTGATTTAAGTATACAAAAAATACTTCTATCGTTTCAAAGGAATGGAATAAGTATACAAAAAAAAAAAAAAAACATTTTCATATAATATGGAATAAGTATACAAAAAACATTTTCATATAATATGGAATAAGTATACAAAAAAACATTTTCATATAATATGGAATAAGTATACAAAAACATTTTCATATAATATGGAATAAGTATACAAAAAAACATTTTCATATAATATGGAATAAGTATACAAAAAAACATTTTCATATAATATGGAATAAGTATACAAAAAACACTTGTATCATTTCAAAGAATTAAGAGAAATGATAGTGTAAAATAGAAAAAGCTGAAGAATTTTGGTATAACGTTAGCTTCTGTGTAACGATTATTTCGTAAATCATAACTGAGAAAAATGTGCATCGTATATAAGTTAAAGTTAATGTGTGACGGAGTGAAAATTATTGTCATATCATAGTGCTGTTAATACAAGGCATAGAATAAATATATAATACATTAAAGGAAATATAAGGTTTTATACATTAAAGGAAAATTTTGTTTAAATATATATCAAAGTGTTATAAATGCATCGAATTTTTATTTGAATCTACGTACAGAATTTGGTTATTAATAAAGAAAAACTCTAAAATGGCAGCGTATACCTTGGGATATTTTCTGTTTGTTATGGAGATAGCTGAGAAACAAAAAGAGAAAAGTGTATTCTTATCCCGATGGGTTATGATTCTGAGAAATATTGCCCAGTTTTAGAGATGGTCACCATCAAAACCCTCAATGTAATTTTTATTGCTTTCATTTGGTTTTTTTTTCTATTTTTTACATCTTATGTTATCATTTATGTATGGTTTAGAGTCGGGACAGAAGTTTAAAAAGAACCAGTTTTGTGAGTAGCAGCTTAAGGTTGTCATTAAACATTCTTCTAAGAATGAGCTAATGTCCATTTATGACTTTAAGATACAAATAAAATTATGGGCGTGAATATGAATACTTTCTTTACAAAGATCACCAAAAATATTATAAGGACTGAATATTTACTATTGAAATTAATAAGTGGATAAAAATTATGATCAGCTGTAAATTCATGAAATAATGTGTAAGTGTTATTTTAATTTCCTAATAGTTATTTTCAATTTTAAACAGCTTTCCTTTATTTTCTTTACAATTCCCTGCCAGAATGAATTTTCAGTAATGACGTTTTATGTAAATGAGGTTGAACCAGTATTTAAAGGGAAGTCTCGGTCACTTCCGCAGAAGAGCTTAGAAGTTCTCAGTAGAGAGTGTTCTGTCTTTTGGGCCACGTCGCTGTTTTAAGCCAAATGTATTCTACGGACATTGTTAGTATTCGTTGGTGAGGTTTATTTAAGGGCCAACTTATTAATTTATTTAAGGGTTTATTTAAGACCGTTGAGGTATATTAAGGGTTAGTTACTTCTGTACAGCTTAGTTTTAGTTAGTTATCATTAATTTATTTTCTTATTTTCTACTTTACGTTAAAGACCAAATGGAGTCTTCTTGTAAGCCCCAGAGGATCCAAATATTCTTGAGTTAAATAAAAGGGTATTTTAACTTTAATCTTTGTACTACATACTATAGCCTTTAGAAATCAGTGAATAGTCGCTATACACTTCTTAAGAATTCTAGTTATTAAGGAGAATCAGGTTAACTAGAGTCTTATAATACTTCGAAAAAAATATCTCACTCCAGAAGTAACATTTTACTGACTTCGTTTTCCTTAACCTTGAATGACGTTTTTAGAATACCCGAGAGCGTAACATTTTACTGGCTTATTAATTTTATTACCCATTTTAGTATACCCGATAGCTTAAGAGATAAACTAATCAATCATTAAGTATATAATACTCAGATATTCCTATTTGAAGGTTGATTTTTTTAATACCATTAACTCCTGTTTCATTCGGGTTCTTGGAATCTTGAATGCTGTGTTATATTTTCGTACAAGCTATTATTCTAATTTACATCTTCATGCATGACCCAAAATGCAACATTTTACTATCTCAGACGATAAGTATTCACTTGATTTAATTAAAAAAACTTTCCTTTTCGCATGTTTTATTTGTATTATATTCTTTAAATCTGTCGTGTTTATTCTTCTTTTGGAGGTGGCTACTTTTATTCTTTCAGTTGCTTTTTCTCATTTAGGATGCCTGACTCAGTGAAATATTACATTGTTATTAAGATGGATCTCTTAATAACCAAGTTATAAAGTAAACATTTTTATATGTAACATCTTCGTATTTTCTCAAATGTTATTCATTTGTAACAACTCATTCTATTTACCAATAGTTATATTATATCTAAATACTATATACATAGAGATGAACATATAAATTTCTTTGGGCAAAATTACTCAGATTATTTTTTAACAAACCTGCAAACTATCTCAGTAATTTCTAAATGCATAGAAAATAATTTATTGCATAAGTTCTATTGCCTTTGTATGAGTTAGGTTTCTTTATTAGCAATTCTTTGAGTAAAATCATTAACTACATTTAACACTGTACCTGAGAATGTTGAATTTTTTTTTATTTCGGATGCCTTTAGCATTTAGCATTTAGGCAAATTTTCCTTTTTCATCTCTTGTACTTTCAATGATCTTTCGTATATTCTTTATTAACATGATTAACTGTATCCAAAATATGAAATTAAAAAGACGGATAGTGACTACGGACGAGAACTTTATCTTTGCAGGCCAGCTCACTGATCACTCAGCTGTCTGCTGCTTTTAAAACAAACCACATCTAAATTGGAATGAGTTAGGCATATTAATAAAAGGTATTGATTGCTATTAATAGAATATAATTTATGTTACTTATACTTCACTGACGATGAATTAATGATAATTAAAATAGTTACATATATTGATAGCGCACGTCAGGAGGATATATGAAAGAGAAACACCTACAAGTTTGTGAAAATATTTTGCAACACGCTGCCTTTTTAATTTTTTCTGCGCCCCGAAGAAGGAAATAATATGTTCATTAAGTTAATTTCAACATGAAAATTTTATCTAGTTTTTCATAATGACAATGTAAAATGTTTGATTTATCTAAATGCAGTGTAAGAACCTTCAAGAAAATCTTTGTTTAATGTTCTAACGCATTAAGTGTTTGTAATTTGATGTTTCCTGCACAGCATATGTACTGAATGGTAAATAAATACAATCTTCTGAATTGCATGGCCAAGTACAGTTAGTGTTTGATATTCCTACATTTACTGAAACCACGTATTTTAATTGTTACTTTTGTCAAAAATTGTATTAGTCATCAAAAATGACGTTGGACATTTTGCATCCCCAACTTCCTTTACTGCATTTAAGCCTTCACTACACATGATAATTACTGATAGCTTATTGTTAAGCTTTCATATACTTATTAATATACATTAGGATCATTTTTCAAAGGTAAGTTGTAAAATAAGGGCATCACATATGGTAGTAATGACTTTCATTTACATAACTGCGTAGCTGTATTTTATTTTAAACTAGCAGCTTCGCTGCCATCCTTCGTCTGGCTTTTAAATGTACCGGAGAATGGCTGAAGGGAGCACCAAACGTTAAATTTAAAAACTGCGTAGAAATTTACTCTGTAGAACAACTTCATAAAAAAAGTTATTATGTATAACAAAATTAGGTACTTTTCCGTTTCGCCGGCGCTAATCTCGCCAAGCAGAATTTATTGGCGACAACATACAGTATACACATAAAAAATATTTAAAAAATTTTAGTTCTAAGAATTCTTTTTTTTAAAGGCATAAACATTTTAATATCGCTTAAAATTTTATAAAAAGCAAATAAATAAAGACAATAAATTTGTAAAAAGACATTAATTTAAGAATTTACTATGCTTTCATGGTTCAATATCCTGATTCGCCGGTTCATATCACGTGACCCCAAGCGATCTCATCTCACGTAAACTACTCTACAAAAATCTAATGCTCTCAGTAATTATCTACATTAATTTCAAGTTAAATCTTAATTTGGAACATACGTTTAAATGCAAGCAATATTTTAATGTGTAGGAATAGCGTACTCAGAAATTATGTAAAACTGCAGTACTTTACTTCGCTAATGCATTCTCATTAGAATTGATGAATTTAACCCTTGCCTTTACCTTTTCTATATTTTCGGCTTCCGGTAAGCGCTGTGATTGCATCCTAATTGACTTAATTACCGAAAATGGCCTTAGACATAAACTGAACTATCTGATAAAAATTCTATGTAATCATATGCCAGTATTGAAAGAAACAATCAATCTGATAAGAAAAAGCTGCGACTTGTTTTGAAAATG